GGCTCCCCTCCCCGCCTCTCCCTTTCTGCCCAGTGCTCCCCAGCACCGGCCAAGCTGGCCGCTGGTGGGCTGGGGTGGTGAGGGCGAGAACAAAACAAACCCACTCTTTTTTTGCCAAGATACCGATCTAAGCCTTTCTTAGGCAGCCCCGGCCATGAGGCTGCAGCGCAGCGGGGCGACTGGTGCTGCTGCACCCCCCCTAGCTCTCGCCACCAAAAAGCCCCACGGCCATGACGCCATTTCTTTTTCTTAAAGTGGAAAACAAAAGAGCAAATACGGTGGTTTGTTGAGCCGTAGCGTGACGCCCGGCTGCCACGGCCGAGCATGGTGCTGCCCAGACCCTGAGCGGGAGAAGCACGCACTGCTCCAGCTCCAGCTTGCTGTTGACCAGCCCGGCCATGGGGCCACCTTGCAGGACAGCCACCCCTGGGGCAGCCACAGCTGCTCTCCCCACAGCATCCTTCTGAAAACTGGGGATACTGGAGAGAGCGTGTGTGGAGGGAATTTAAAATCCCTTTTTTCTCATCACACGCCTGGGCAATGCCGCACTTCCAGCTCTCCCATTAAGTAGCCGGAAAAAAACCCAAAGGCGTTGGATATATTGCTGTCGCAAGGTGCCCGTGGGCTTGGCTGCAGCCCCCCCACGCCATGGTCGGGGTCCCACCCCACCGCCGCAGGACCCCTGGTCTCGGCAGTGCCTGCAGATCCAGCGCGGCACCAGGACGGGCTTTGCTTGACTTCCTGCCCAACGTCCAGAGCAACCCAAACCACGGCTGACCCGACCAGCAGCAGAGACTCTTGAACACCATCGCCTCCTTGCCAAAAATAGATCGGAGCGGTTAAAAAAAAAAAAAAAACCATACAAAAATGAGAACAATATCTTCTTGACCATCAAAGAGAAAACACACTCATTTCGAGGCGGGAGCACCTGAGAGGAGAAATTTTGGGTTGTATTTTCTCTTTCTGCAGCAGATGGGCTTGGTTTTCTTTGAAACAGATGAAATATCTCATTGCCGCCAGCCCGAGGTAACTGCCTGAGGCATCTCCACTGCCGGCTGGCCCCTTCGTGGGCTTGGTGGCTCTGGAAAGCAGCCCGGTGATCAACCAGGTCAGAACAAACGACTCCTTTTCCTTTCGAGCTTGCTACCCGCTTGTTTCCTATCTGTGCAGAAAGAGGTAGAACTTGTGGGCTGGAACCTGCACGCTCGCCCCAGCTGAGAACTTGGCAGCTCGTTGCAGGAGTGGGCCGCACTGACAAGCACCAACAGCAGCCTCGCTGCTACCTCCCGGCCCCTGGGTCTGGGCAGAGCCGTGTGCTGCGGCTCTCCGGACCTGGCAGCTCCTGCAGGATACAGTCATGGCAAATTGCTAAAAAAAAGTGTTTCATTTCTGTATATAATAAATGAGGAAATTTGTTGCAAACAGCCTCCGGCGGGGCTGGTATTAAAAGCACTGCTCTGCTAACAGAGGCGGTTTTTCAGAAGTCAGTATCAAAGCAGCAATGGAAAGTGGGGTATTTTTAAGCTGTTGTACAAGGAGTATTCGAGGAGGCGATCAGCCAGTGCATCCGACATGTTACATACGAGCGTGTTCACCTGGTGCCCCTGGAAACTTTGTCACCAACACCTCAAGTCAAATTCACGCCGTCTCTGGCTGAGAGCGATCCTCGGTCGAGCTCACTCACCACAGAGACCTTTATAAAAGTCAAAGATATTTATAAGACTTTATTCAACCTCAACAAACGTACACTGAAGGTTCACTTGACCCCATTAACCCATGGACTGAATAACTCCAACAAGAAGAGAAAGAGCTGGGAAAGATTCGATAAAAAGATTCAAAGCACAGGAAAAACCTGGGGTCCACCGCAGCGTCCGCGGATCAAGCTTCCAGCGTTTGGGGTTTTACAGCGCAGCGCTTTAGGAAGCTTCTCCCTGGTTTAGGACAATTCTCCTTGTTTTGGGAGTCCTTCCCAAGCCCCATGGATACAGACATCTCGGCCATGTTCAGGGTGTGCGATCGGCCCTGCTGCTCTCCTGGCCTTGCGCAGGCACAGAGCAATATCTGGTGATCAACATTCTTGGTGACAAATTTTGGCCAAGCCACCGTGGCAGCTCCATACCGGCCGCCAGAGCAGAGCTGCTCCACGTGTCGCACATCTTGGGGGGTCTGGTCACGGCGGGCTGGGAGGT